TTCTCAAATGCTAACCTTGTGCAACCGCGGAAACCGTTATTCCCACTCACGAAGGCTTATCCATGGGGTTGTTCCGGACGTGAAGGCCAGGGCCAACCGAACACCAAACAGCAAACTCAATCACCTTGGCCGCTGCGGTGGCGTTACACTCGAGGTTGGCCATCTGCTTGCCCTCTGCGGACGACTCGTAGAAGCCGGTCACGATGAAGCCCGCGTTGTTGAACACACACTGGACATTAATGTCTGAGGTCACCGCCCTGCGCAACACCAAGCGAAACATGAACATTTTTATGGTGTATTTTGTGTAAATCAATCAACGAAACATTAGACAGAACGAACGTTGCTCGTGGGTTGGGCGATAGGGGGGAGCAACAGGCGAAACACAAGCGGCCTTTCTTTTGGGAGATAACCCTGCGGTCGAAATGACAGCGTAACATTCGTTTTTTTCCCTTCTAAACCACCTCACGTGGTAAGCCACAGTCTACATGCAGAGGCGGGTGCAGCGAGGCAAGAGCAGCTCCATGTATGCATAGACCGACCATAGCTTGCATAAGATATCACACCCCGCCTAAGATATCACACCTCCTGGACCGATTTTCGAAGTTCGATATCTCGGCAGGACAAGCAATGACGGTGCCGAAAATGGCGGCGTTGGAACCACCTCGTCCAAAGCTTTCCGAAAACGTATACTTCAATTTCGGCATCCTCTTTGTCGTGGAGTAATCCATATCTTACAACCTACGGTATCTTGTTATCTTTCCAGAATTTACCCAACATTTTGTGCAAAGAAAGATAGGCGGAATTAAAAAAAACAGCAGCTTCACGCCGCCACAAAATATGGAACGACAAGAGCAATAGTTCGGGGAAAACGCCACATTCTACCTTCTCTCACTTAGCGATATCGATACTCCAGTTTTCATTCGGGCAATTCTTGTGTTTTCTGCTTGATCCTTGTGCTTGCTTACTTGATCTTGTCCATGTAGTCCACCCCCGGAGAAAACGTAGCGCCGACTTTCCGGAACTCCTGCCCCGGAAACTTGGATGACACCAACGCGAACGTATCCGCTAGGAACTGGTCGTCCATGGACACAATCACTACGTTTAGGCCCTGGGAAATAGAACCACCAAGGTGCAAGCAAAGCAGACAGTGTAACGCGAAAGGCCAAGGTCAAAGGACTTGCGTACAGCAAGCTCTCCACGAGACGGCTCCAACGCCGCCACGTTCGGAACAAAAAAAAACGGTCGGAAAGGGGGTGTGGTATTTTATGCAACTTATCGTCTGGGACAAGGACGTTCGCAAAAGAGGCCCATTCCCTTCGTGGGGGGAGAAAAATCACAGATACAGCTGTCTAGCGAAAGGGATGCTCAAGACAATCACAGCGTTGAGCCCCTGGAATATCAGACGACGAGGGTGTAGACACACGGGGTTAGGACAGGGGAAGCGCAACACCGGTACAACGCACAGAAGCCCGTTGGCCAAAGGCAACGCACCACGGGCTTTCATACAAACCGCTGGAACTCGTGGACCCTCAATCGCTCCATGCAGCACACGCACAACGGAGGCAAGAGCCAATATAGCTTCTACGCAAACACAGGCTCCCACACATGACATGCAAAAGCTCGCCAAGACGACGCATATGGGCTCCGAGTGTTCATATGTGGTGAGGTGACTGGAGGTTCCGCTTCGGGGGCGAGTTGGTCGGAAGAGGTTGGCGAACCACATGGTCGACTGCAACGCGGGCAAAATAACTCGACACAGAATTCCATACGGTACTCGCAGATAATTTTTAGTGGCGATCTTTTGTGGGAAGGGCTGGGGACGGGGCGACATCGTCATGCGTCGGCCAAAGCATGCATCGCCACGCATTGCGGGGGGTTGGAGGGTCGTACCTGTAGCGCCAGCTCTTCGACGAGAGCCTTCCCTATCCCGCTCCCGCCACCCTGAACGACAGCACGACCGCACGATATGGAAAGCATGCCCACGTAAACGGCAGCACCAGAGATTTAGCGTTAGGGCAAAAGATATCGCGGTCCACTACTCGTTGGAAAGTACGACGACCACTACCACCACCACAAAGTATCGACATACCACTCGTTGACACACCTTTCGCATGTATGATTCGCCGCGCCATATTGACGAAAAAAGAAGAAGTGGAAGCCCTCGCCGATCAAGCAAAAACAGCAACACAAATGCTGGTACAACCACGATAAAGCTGGGTGTCCCTTTCTTTCCGCACCATGACTACGGAAGAGAAGGCCACAAGGACACAGCATAAACCTGCAACCCAAAGAGACACGAACACGGCGTCTGCCAACCGCTGGGGACTGGGGACTTACAGTCACGAGGGCCCACTTCGCTCCATACTTCTTCTTCAGGTTCTGGGGGGGTAGCACCGCCACCAGCAGCAGGGGTACTGGTTGTCGGTTGGCCGGGGGGGGGGGGGGGGGGTAATTGTGGGATGAGGATGCCATTGGCGAGAGAACGACCACGCTCGATGGGTGAAGCGGAGTTGTAAGCCAGCACATCGTGATGGGGGGCGTGACACAACACGTGCGGCGGCAAAGCGTGTACACAGAGACTTGAGAGCGGACAGCATAAAATGCGACATGATTCCGGCGTTGAAAGAACGATCACGCTCAAATGCGAAGTGTGAGTACTGTGTCACTTTCCGCCTTAGGCAACACACGGGAGTCGCAAGAGAGTGTGTGGCATGTCCCACATGTATGAGGGTGCATCTACGTAGGCTCTGCTTCGACAACGCCCCACTTATACTCCTCTCGGGTGTTGTTTTAAGCTATGTATGTGCTGTACGAGTTTGTCCACATGCCCTCGGCGCGGCACCGCCGTTGGCATATATCCTGCCTACTGCTGTAGTCCAGCGCACATGCCACGGTTGCGGGACAAGACCACCGGTAGATTGCAACGTGGTGTCTCTAGCAGCGGTTGTATCTTTCCTGCGCTGTCGAACGAAGGTGCGTAAACAACGTATTGCAGCTCCAATCTTCCACTCCTCACGACTAGTTGGAGCTTGCTTTACCTGGTCATAGCTCCGTTCAGCTCCATTATTGTAGGGAGAGGGGGAGAGGGGGGTCAACACACGGAGGCGATGCCGCATCTACAGCAGTAGTACGGCCCGGTGACAACAGGACTACCAAACGTGTCACGCAAACACTGAAGCCGCGGGCCGTAGAGATTTTGTCGTGTAACAGATCTGAGTTCGTCCATTAGGTAATAGGGGGCTCGCTACAGGTGCCGGTATATGCCCAGCTGTCGGCTTTGTTTAAGCCGCCGTTCACCAGAGGCACCTGGCACCATCTATTCAGAAAATGAGCCAACTTTGGACATTCAATAGTCTCGCGATTCCAGCCGCACTATTACCCCGTGCGGTGGCACTAGGCCACCGGCACTTTAGCGAGACCCTCACCGCTGTAGTACGGAGAACAAGAATGAGCGACAGCAAGTAAATGGTACTCTGTAACGGAAAACAAAACGTCACGGAAAGATTGACTAGCCCGCAGTCTTTATGCTATGTGCAGTGTATTGTGTACACAGCATGCGGTAGACACATGTACTGCTGTAGATAGACTAGAAGTACATTTTTACTACGTACACTTTTCAATTTAAGCATTCTTTTGAAACGTTGGACTGGGGGAACAATTGTTGTACAAACACTCATTCTGCTTCACAATTCTTTCAAGCTCATCAGTGTTAGCAGAGCTATGGTGTCCGTTGCGCCCTTCGCTGCTTGCCAGCCAGAACAGATCAACGGCAGAATGATAAGAACAATTACTGCTGAGCTCTCTCACCAAAGTAGGTGACGAGCCACACGATCGTTGGCACTGCCAGAAAACCTAGCGCCACAGTTGTCAGGCACACCATACTTGCACGCACACCCACACAAGAGAGGATAGAGCAGTGGAGCAGCAGCGCTTAGCGCATCCAGCGCCCCGCGCAGTACACACACCAGCGGGGGATACGCAATCAGGATAAAGCTTGCATGGGTACCTCAGCGGGGCAGAGACAAAGAGTGCCGCCGCCGTCCGCCGTCGACTGCTGCTGTGGTGTGCTGTCTCACAATAGCACGCCGAACAGCAGTACCAGCATCATGTCCACCCAAATCCAGGAGCTCATCGCTGCGGAGACGAAGGCCTCCTCTATCGTTGCGGAGGCCCGGGCATGTGAGTAGCTGGGAAGTGCAGTTCCAGAGTCCTGAAAAGTATGCTTCGATTTTGCGGAAAGAGTCGCGCCAGCGAAGAGCAAAGCAGAGAGAGTTGGGGGGGAGGGCACCGACGGGGTTGGGTCTGTGAGAGCCACACTCCCACAAGCGTTTGCGTTTTGTCGGTGGCTCGAAGAACAGTTTGGTGCACTTCAGCGAGGGAGACGTCCTGCTGTTAGTGGACCTACCTTCCTCAGCCATCTCTGCACTACAGAATCCGCCATCACGTTAGGAGCGCTCTGCGAGAGACGTTGCCAGGAATCGAACACGAAGTGCGCTCTCTTGGGCGGCGCCAATTGCCGACAGGAAGGCTGGCATTGAACAAAGCGTCGGGTTCTGTGTATAACTGCTCCTTCTTCGTGCTTACTTGTTCGCATTGCAAGCGTATACCTTCCTTGCCGCAACATTTGCACCCCGATGTTCCTTGTTTGAGAAAGACAGCAGCACAGCGGTACACGTGCATTTGCCATCGCTTCCATGTACCATTCGGTACCTGCACCCCCGCCCTCTGTCTTTCGGCGTTGACAACTGAACCACCAGGGCGGCCAAGCGACTGCTCTCTTCTCTTTATCGTTGCGTTCATGGATTGTAATACAGCCAGTTAGTCAAACTGACGTGGTGTTTACTGCGCTCCCCTCCCCTCCCTCCGTGCTCCCCATCCCCTAACAAGAGCAGTGGCATGTTTTGCTGTGATGGTGCAACCGGTGTCCCTTCTTATAATCCGTTGTGGGCGGGGACCCAGAGTTCTTCTTTTCTGGCCCACCCAGACATACTGATATCCCGGATTTGCTCCTCAACAGCACAAATCATCAACTAGTTGCCCATTGCCATGCCAAGTGCGGCCTGCGTGATAAGCAGGATCGTGGGTGCTGTTCTCGCTCCCGAGAAAAACATACCATCTCACAACCCCCCCCCCC